TGTAAAATTGTGGATGTGTAACCGACGTGATTCTGCAATCTGCATTTGGGGTAAAAATTGGGAGTTCATAACCCACTTGAATCTAATGTATGAAATATGATATGTCAAGAGCTTTGTAATGTTGTGAACAACCAATAAAAAAAAGAAGACTCCTAAAGCACAAGAAATAAAATCAAGAATCAATAAATGGGATGGATTCAAATTAAAAAGCTTCTTCTCAATAAAGGAAACAAGCAATAATGTGAGGAGAGAGCCTACAGACTGGGAGAAAATCTTTACCTCATGCACCTCCAATAAAGCATTAATCTCTAGGATATATAAAGAATTCAAAAAACTTTATACCAAAAAAAAAAAAATAACCCAATCAATAACTGGACTAAGAAACTGAACAGACACTTCACAGAAGAAGAAATACAATTGATCAACAAATATAAGAAAAAGTGTCCAATATCTTTAGCAATTAGAAAAATGCAAATTAAAACTACTCTAAGATTTCATCTCACTCCTGTCAGAATGGCAATCATCAAGAATACAGGCAACAATAAATGTTGGTGAGGATGTGAGGGAAAAGGCACACTCATACATGGCTGGTGGGAGTGCAAATTGATGCAACCACTCTGGAAAGCAGTATGGAGATTCCTCAGAAAACTTGGAATAGAACCACCACTTGACCCAGCTTTCTCACTCCTTGGTTTATACCCAAAGGACTTAAAAACAGCATACTATAGGGACACAGCCACATCAATGTTTATAGCAGCTCAATTTATAATACCTAAACTGTGGAACCAACCTAGGTATCCTTCAATAGATAACGCATAAAGAAAATGTGGCATGTATACTCAATGGAATATTACTCAGTTTTAAAGAAGAGATAAATTATGGCATTTGCCAGTAAATGGATGGAGTTGGAGAATATCATGCTAAGTGAAGTAAGCCAATCCCCAAAAAACTAAAGATCAAATGTTTTCTCTAATATGTGGATGCTAATTCACAATAAGGCAGGGGGCACTAGGGAAGAATAGTGTTACCTTAGATTAGGCAGAGGGAATTGAAGGGAGGAAAGGAGAGGGGATGTGGGGATAGGAAAGATAGTAGAATGAAACAGACATTATTACTTTATGAATATATGTGACTGCTTGACCAATATGATTCTACAACATGTACACTCAGAAAAATGAGAAATTATATCCCATCTATGTGTGATATGTCAAAGTGCATAAATGCATTCTATTGTCATGTATAACTAACTAAAACACATAAAAATGATTTAAAAACTAAATAAATAAAAAATAAATTTAAAAAAGTGAGAAGACACCCAGAGTTTTTAAAAATGTCTTTCAAATTAAAATAAAGGAAGCATAAGGTAGGGCCAGATTCTCATTTCTTATAAAAGATCAGACTCAAATACACCATCTATAAATAATTTACTATCATATATGCATACTGAAGATTCACAGAGGAAAAATAAAACACAAAAGCAGAGGCAGGAATTCCTCTCTGATTTGGGTTAATGACCACATGAAATTTAAATTTGGATAGAAGATGATTTTTAAATTTTAAGATCTGTGTGTAAGGGCACGGTTGGATTGTACATAATGAAATGCCACTCCATAGAGAAGGTTTTTTTCAAGAAAGTTGCATTTTTAATTTTTTTTWWAAAAGTTAAACAGCACAGTTAAATGTTGAAAAAGAAAATATAAAAGGGAAGGTCCATTTAACTGAAGCATGTAACGGTTTTTGCCATACCAGACGGATGCAGAAAATCATATTCAGGGAAAGGTAAGAAAGAAGATTAGAAGAAAGAAAAGGGAAGTGTCTGGGGAGCCCGTCTGCTCTGGCTGCCACCCTGGTCTCAGCCAGAAGTTTCTCATTTTCGACATTGCCAACATTGGAAGCCGGGTCAATCTTTGCTGTGGGGCTGACCTTCCCATTATAAGATGTGGAGCACCATTTCTGGTCTCTGCATACTAGATGACAGGATCACCTCTGCCATCACCAGTGTGACATCCAAAAATGCCCCCTTGGGAGATAAAATCAACCAATAAGAACCACCAACTTATCATCCTCTAGATTTTACTAAACAAAAATTTTAATTAAAAAAATAATTCCTTTTATTTTGTAATATACCATCAACTGAAGGAAAATCAAAGGTGTGACTCAGATTCAAATTTTCTGYCAAATACCATATAGAGATGGTTACATGTGTATAGACACACCCCACGGTATTATGTGCACATCTGGATATGCGCATGTAGACAGCTATATGTTTATATGTTTAATGTCACAAATTCATGCCAAATATCATGGTCTATGATGGGCATAAAAGATAAAAATAATATATTCAAAACACYTGAACATTTCACTTAATAACTCAGTTATTTGACCTCTTAATTTTTTAAAAAGTCAAAACATGAGGAAAATACAAGTACTGTGTATTCTTTTACAAAGTGCCAATGAAAAAAGTATGTAGTACCTTCTATCCGGCTTAAAGATAAATAATATATATTTTATACTTCAAATTAAAGTTTATGTATACTTGAGGATTAGACATATCACTTGTCTGCATCAATTGACATGTAGCAGTGGAAAGATGATGATGTAATATAAATCCCACTCTGACACCTCATTCATTCTTCTGGGCTGACCCAGCCATGATATGACATCTTTGTCCCACAGAAGTAAGTCAATCCCATACATCATCATTACCCCTTTCAAAATGATGGACTAGGAGATCTAGGTTTCTTCTGCAGCCAAACAAATTTCTAGCACATTGCTGGATCAGCAGGAAAACATAAGGATTTTCCACATCAGCTCTCTCCCCAAGAAAATGTGGTTTGCAGCTGTCCAGGAGCTGAAAAATTTGGATGGCAAGGAGGAGTGGAATCTCCTGGAACTCAGAGGAGGTGTAAGCAACAATGAGGTTGTAAACTAAAACAAGAATTCTCACATTGAGCTGAAATCCTTGAAGCAGACTAGAATTATGCCCTGGCATCCAGCAGAAGCAGATACAAGCCGTTTCTGCAAGAAAGCATCCAAATGTAAGCCTTCAGGAGTCCCACTGATGAAGATCAAGTAATAAGATTCAGTCTAGGTTCACCAAGGACATAAGACAAGCCACACGAATGAGAGTAGAAACACCAAAACAGACTTAGACCTCAAAACTGCAAGAATGAGAATTCACAGACTCAGGACATAGAATAATCACGTTGTTTAAAGAAACTGAGGGCTAGGGCTGGGGATGTAGCTCCGTAGTAAATCACTTGCCTGGCATGCATGAGGCCCTAATACCACAAAAAAAGTAAACTGCAT